AGGCCCTCCTGTGCCATTCGCGGCTCGAGTCGTTCTGGCTCAATCTGCTGAGGTCACATGGTTGTTCCCGCTTGCGGTCACCATCATGTCCATCCCTCGGGGCTCCATTTGAAGCACCTCCTTGCCGCAGAGACTGCCGCAGGTCTGGACCCGTGGAATCCGCAAGTGCTTTACAAGCGAGGCCTCTGCGAGGATGCAGTGGGACTCTACCAGCGGAGTGCCGACTCTTTTGCGAAGGCCGCCTCCCTGTGTACTGGCAGCACAGGTCGAAGAACAAACAACGACGCCAGCATAATTTCTCGGAGGTCCCCTCGAATTTCTCGGATCGGCGCTGGGCCCCCTTGTCGGCGCCTCCGGCGCCACCCTTGGCGCGCTCCGCGCGCCAGAGAGGAGGGTCCACCGCCGATCCAAGAAATCCGCATGTACCTGAGAGAAATGTTGTTTATGTTGTCTGTTCTTCTAATAGGGGTTCACGCGCGCCTCAAGCAAAGTTGTGAGAGCGGCCGGAAGGTGGCATTGCAGCACGTGGCAGAGCAGCTGCATGGTGAGTATCAGTGGGATGAGCTCTACAGGGCAGACCCTCCTGGCCTTACCTCTGGAAAGCCAGCTGGAGGCTTGGAGTCTCTAGTGCTTCCCACCGCCTCTTTCTGTCACCGCCTTTGTAGGGTTCGCCTCATCCCTGGAAAGGGTCGTGGTCTTGTCGTCGAGGGGGACATGGGCAGAGGCGAGCTCGTTTTCGCCCAGAAAGCTTTTGTCTTTGACCAGAAGAAGAACATGCTACGCGCCGCGGTTGCGCGGTTACGCTCTGGTACTCAGGCAGAGGCAGATTTATTTTTTTGTCTCTACGACGGGTTCAATGGAGGAGAGGCTGTGCCTGAATCGCTCAACATAGAGGGGCGGCCACAGAAGCGGGAGTCGTTGCGAGAGGAAGTCGCCGCCCAAGAGCTTGACGTTGAGCGCATCAAGAGGATCTTGTCTCACAACATGCATTCGCGCGACTCGATGTCTGAAAATGGTCAGCCCATGTCTGATGACATATGTGGTGTTTGGTTGTTACCCTCGTTCATGAACCATTCGTGCCGAGCGAATGTGGAGCACGTCTTTGTCGGCGATATGATGCTCTGTCGCACTACGCGGCCGCTCAAGGCTGGTAGCGAGCTTTATGACACCTATATCAGCTCGACTCGGCCATTGCAGACTCGACAAGGAGAACTCAGTGGCGAGTGCGGGATTGGTTATGGGTTTGCTTGCACGTGTGCCCGATGCAGGGTGGAGGAGGTTCTGCTCCCAGTAGCCAAAGCGAAACCTCTTATGGACCAGCTCACGCGAGCCACAGCCCAAATCAATCCATCACAGCTTGGGCACGCACTCGACGCCTTCAATGCGCTTGCACAATCAGTAGAGAAGATAGTTGCCGAGGCTGTTCTGAGCAAGGCCCGCGAACTGGAGCAGGACGCGTCCCTGCGTGAGGCTTGCGAAGAGTTGTATGGTCCTCCGACAAGGGAACCTGCTTGGTTGACCACGCTGTATCCTTTGCTGGAGAAGCTGCTCTGCAGCTCCTTTCTACCAGTTTGGATCGGTATAGCCTTCGCTCGAAATCAGCTCGCACGGTCTTGGATGGACCATGCTCTAGCGGCAAAGGCTTACCGTCGCTGTTGTGAACTCTACGACGAGATCTCGACCAGCAGCGTTTCCCATGCAAACTGCTCCGCTCAATATGTTAAGCATGCCTACAGGGCTTTCAAGGGTAGCCCCAGATCGAGACAGAAGATTGCATGGCGTGAGACCAAGGAGGCTGCCCAGTATGCACGCTCGTGCCACGCGATCTGCTATCCAGACGCCTGCGGCAAGTTCCACCGCCATGCTGGCACGCCCGCAGCACTCTGTGCTGCGACCCCTGGACAAGCTCCTGGAATGCCGCATCATGTGACAGCTCGCCGTCCCTGGACTCCACGACATGTGACTCGCTCTTCCGCAGGCTCAACGGGGAAGCAGCACGTGACAGCGGTCCTCCGCAGGGCTCAGAGATTGGCAACAACTCGGGAAAAGACCCGTTCACCCTTTCGAGCGAAGCGGAGCAGCTCACAAACAAACAATCTCGGCATCATCATTTTTTTCCGAACGGTGGTTTTCACGTTGAGTTCGCGCACGTACTACATTTGTGGAGGCCACGGCCTCCGCGCCCTGCCCTGATGGGCACGCGGGCTCCCTAGCGGAGCGGGCACGACTCGGGCGTTCGCTTCGCCATGCTGCGCAGAGAGCCGCAACATGTGGCACCACTCTCCTCCAGATCCTGCGAGGGCTGCATCAGTTCCCCTCCCCAGTTGAGAAAAGGGCCCGCCACAGCACGTGACTGTCGATTGCCCCACGGCCCAGAGGGCCACACGAGTGTGCCAGCGACGGTTTTTCGGGGTTCCCAGGCGCTCGCCAGAGGTCGAAGAAGACAACACCGGCAACAGCATACACTTTCGGAGGTCCGCGCGGATTTCTTGGATCTGCGCTGGGCCCCCATTTGGGGATGGTCCTCGGCTGCCCAGTGTGGTGTGGACTCTACATTACGGGGCCACTGCTTGTGCGTTTACGTCCCTCCTCCTGTTATGCGTGACAACTGTAGCAATCGTTTACGTTTTTTCTTATGTCATGTATGACTGCTGTAGCTATGAGAGCCGCGAGCTCGCTGCACTCGAATCTCAGATCTCGTGGGTCCCAGGCATCTTGGAGTCTTCCCGTCGGTTCGGAATCTGGCGATCTTCGTGGCGTGCTGTCTTTTCATGACGAAACAACCAAAAGTTTTGGACGGCCTGGGTTACGTCCCACTGCGCCGTCCTCGTGGCCGTCTTGGGGCTGCTTGGGGCCTCTTGCGGGGCGAGTCGGGAGGTTTTTCGGGTCGTGCCTTGAGCCTCCAGGGGCCCGTGCTGGGCCCCTGGGACCGTCGAATAGGACTTGGGATGCGAAGCCGGTCCCGAAGAACGGGTCGGGACTCCCAGGGACCGCGCAGTGACAAAGATCGAGAGATCGGATGTCTGGGTCGGGGACGTCTCGGGGCCTCTGGCGGACTTCTCGGGACGGGCCAGGTCACCCGCGGAGGCGCAAAGAGAAAGTGGCGCTTCGCGTGTCGCGGTCTGGGCCAGAGCAGTTGCCCTTCTCCAAGGAGGGCGGCGCGAAGGCGCGACGGCGCGAGTGCAGCCTCTTGGGGACTTAGGTGTCCTTCCTGGGTCGTCCTGGAAGCGCTGGAGACTGGCTGGGTAGCTCTGGGGCACCTGGCAAGCTGCGGGAGGGGAGGTGGTGCACGCGGCTCGACGCCAGGAGAGGGGGGGCCTCAGAAGACCGCAGAAGACCAGACAGACAGCACCTGGACGCCGCTCTCAGACATGCGGCGTTTCGTTTTTTTCTGACGGGACTTGAGTCTGGCATGTCTTTCTACAGGAGGAATATTCAAGAAGAGTGTTCTCTTTAGACGGTGTTTCGTGTTCTGCTGACGGTGTTTCGTGTTCTCTTTAGACTGTTTTGGACTATTTGTAATTATTTGTTATGTTTCTTCCGAAGTCCGCTTGTAGGAGGACATGTCCCACGGGGTCATGCTGTTCATCCCGAGTCGCTTTTTTGATGGTCCTGGGGCCAGGAGCCAGCCTCCGCAGGGTCGAAGAGGCAGAGACCAGCCGGCTCGATTTCTTCGAGCAGCCAGATCCAGATGCCCGATGTCTCGAGTCTCTCAATACGGGGTCCCCGGAGGTCTGGACCTCTTCTCCAGGGCTGGCTGTTCATTCCGAGTCGTTTTCGGACGGTCCCTGGGCCCGGTGAGGGCCCCCCCAGAAGCCGAGGCCTGCGAACAACTTCCGCACATCGAGCTCGTCGAGACGTTGGAGGTCAGGGGATGTCTCGGCTCCTTGTACGTGCCCTTTGGGGGGCACGGTGGCGGACGGCGGCTCCTTGTGGCAGGCGCAGACGGCCAGGCTGGGGTGGCACCCCGAGCTCACGGCGGCGGCGGGGCGCGCGGTGCCGCAGGGCGCGAGCCGGGACTGTCCGAGGGAGCCCACGGTCGCGGGCGCGGCAGCGGCGGCCTCGGATCCCGCCGCCGCGGAAGGCTCGAAGAAGAGAAGACGGCCTAATTAGGCAGAAGCTCTCGGAGCTCCGTGCGGTTTTCCTGCATCTGCGCTGGGATCCCCCTGGCGGCGCCTCTGGCGTTATGATGTTCCAACCTAATGTAGCCTTGATCACCAGAGAATCTCGAGCACCAAGAAAGTACCAACACTTGACGTTTTTCACGTGTCTGGCCCTGGGAGGCGATGCTCGCTCGACGCCGTTTCGATACTTTTCTGGGTGCTCGACAGTATTTCTGGGATGTGGTTCTTAGGTACGATGGGAGCAACATAACTTTGGCGCCGATGCGAGGACTCCGCGCGGCCGAGAGTTTTTTTGGCTCGTGCAATTTTCCTCCAGAGGTGCGGGCGCGGCGGAGGAGCGTCGGGCGGCAGGAGGCGAGGGCGGCGTCGCCGAGGCTGCGGCGGCGGGGGAGGCCACGTGGGACCCTCGTCGCGCAAAAGGGGCCGGCCCTGTGCCGCGGCAGGCGCCCTGGCGCCACGCCATCTCCGTGGTGGCGGAGCTCCTAGTGCTGTCCGTCCAGCTTGGAGCCAGCTGGGGGTCTGGGGTCGCCCAGCGCCGGTTTCGACCAGCCGGAGGGGTGTGTGGGGGCAGGTTCGAGGTGCCGCGGGTTCGACGAGGCCTTTTGGCTTTTTCTCCGCCCCGGGACCGCGAACATGAGATCTGGGGTGAAGAATTGCAGCAGACGGACTCCAGGAGGGGTTCAGAGAATGATCGCGAAGGTCTTGCTGGAGGTGCCGCCGACCCTGAAGGGGGCGACGACGACGACGACGGCGACGACGAGAAACATTCAAAAAGTTGAGAGCTCTCATTGATTTTACCATCGTGGGGTTGTCTTAGGAGTATTCCTGGAGTTCTCTTGGTCCTCTTGGGTGCCACTTGGGAGCTTCTTGGGCGCCTCTTGTGGCCCCCTTGGGGCCCCTTTCGGGAGCCTCTTGGGGCCCTTTTGGGGCCCTTTTGGTGCCCTTGGGGGCCTCTTGGGCGGTCTCGGGGCCTTGTTGGGCCGTCTTGGTTTGTTTTCGGGCGCTACTGCACCAGACGGATTTCACGAGCGGTCCAGGGGTTGATTTGAGCGATGTGCTTTCATCCCACCTTCTTGACCGATTTTCTTCGGGGCCCCATCCCCGACACCCAGCGCCTGGATTTTTTCGAGACGCGGCCCCCGACTTCTCGACCACTTCCTCCCTGGCCGGTTTTTCATCCGAGTATTTTTTTTTCATGGTCCCGAAACCCAGTGAGGGCACCGAGAGGCCGAGGACAAAACTTTGTCTCGATTTATTCGCGACGCCAGATGTCTGGGACCAGCTCGGACCCCCTGGCCGCCTCCGACGTCCAGCTCCCGGTCCACGCCGACGTGGGGAGCGTCGAGCTGGACGTCAGCGCGGACTGTGCCGAGCTGTCTCTGGTGGCCGGCGCCGAGGCAGGGTCCCTTCGTGTGCCGCTGCCGCACCGCGTGGATCCCTCGCGGGCTGGCCCCGCGAAGTACCACAGGACTGGAGCCGGCTGGGGGTCTGCGGTGGCCCAGCCAAGGTTCGGGCGGGCAGGAAGAGGGGGCGAGGTCCGAGGTTCCGGGTTCGAGGCGGTGTTCGCGTGTTTTCTCCTTTCCGGCCTCCGGGTGCGGTCAGTAGTGAAAGATGGCACCAGGTGGACTCAGGGAGGGGTGTGGGCGCTGATTTTGAGCAAGTTTGTTCCGACCCCCCCTCCTTGACATGTTCTCGGGGCCCGTTCAGTTCAGACCTTTCAACTGCTACCAACCACAGGACATCATCACGGCTGGTGCTGGAACTACCTCGAGCTGCCCACATCTGAAGCTATTGCGCGGTGCCCGATTTTTTTGTCTTGTGCACTGACGGTGCAGTCACGTTCGCTTTCCGACTCATCATCTCATAGGGGTGAGCTGCGTGATCAATAGTCTTGGTGTCGTTGGCGCAAGAGATTTGCGCTTACAAGTTGATCCATTCATGAATTCGTGCCACGCCACGTCCTGCCCTTGCCAATGGGCGGCGTCCTACAGCACCCCCCCCCCTCGAGCTGGAGTGGACTCGCTTTTCGGCCCTCGCCCGCTTACGAAGTGGTTGCAGCAAGCCCACGGGACTTGAACATGCCGCTGCCAGCCAAACTCCTTTGCTGTTTTTTGTTAGCTTCCGCATCTCTCTTCTGCGTGCTGATTGTTTTGTTAGGCCGTCTCTGACGCCCCGATTGCAAGTTCGGATTCGGCCGCCACACTGGATAGCAGGCGCGCCGGTGCCAAGCATATGGTAAGTAGAGCTGTTACATCCAGGGAAGTAGAGCCAGATGCGGCATCAGCCGAGTGAAAAAATATGATGCGCCAGTTTTTTGTATCCCGTCGTCTTGAATTTACACGGCCATCTCCAACGGGATCAGATCGCGTGTGATGTTCCCAAGCTATGTGAATAGAACCGTATCCTACCAGTCCACGTCACTGATGGGAGGGCTGGGATAATGGGCCATGCAGTGAGGCGCGGGACGGCCTTACCAAGTTCGGGACTTCGTACATTTCTCTGTCCCTCTGGCTCAGCGGTCGCGTGCGCAGGCTGTCACGCCGCTTGGCCACGTCGTATTAATACACGCCGCTTCGTGGGGGACGCTACTGGACATGCGTTCCTTCTGGTCCTCATCCTCCTCTTCCTCCTCTTCCTCCTCTTCCTCCTCTTGCTCTTCTTCCTCCTCCTTCCTCCTCCTTCGTCCTCCTCACCCTTGTCCTCCTATTCTGCGCTCACAGCTTGCACATGCCGCTGCGCTCGCACTGAGTCCCTGCTGCGGCTGGGGCAGGGCGTCCGCGGTAATCAGACCCTCTCCAACAGGGCTCCGCGGCCCCAATGGAGGATCCCAAAGGAGGAATTCGGACGATGAGGCGGCTAGAAGGCAACCTCAAGAGAAGAAGAAGGATCATCAAGGACGAGGACGGAGGCGGACGAGGAGTAAGGTGTACGAGGAGCAAAAGGAGAAGGACGAGGCGAAGGAAGATAATGACGAGGAGACGCAGGATGAGGGTAAGGAGAAGGAGGACGACCAGAAGGAGGAGGAGGAGGAGGAGGAGGAGGAGGAGGAGGAGGAAGAGGAGGAGGAGGAGGAGGAGGCGGAGGAGGAGGAGGAGGAGGAGGAGGAGGAGGAACAGGAGGAGGAGGAGGAGGAGGAGGAGGAGAAGGAGGAGGAGGAGAATGAGGAGGAGGAGGAGAAGGCGAAGAGAGGGCGAGGAGAGAGCGAGGAGGACGGAGAGGGTCGCCGCATGACAAGCGGGTTGCAACGGCCTTCGCCCCTGGCCTGGTCACGCCCTCCAGGGGTTGGCCGGGCGTTGGACGGGAAACGGCGGGCTCTGGCACCTCGAGCTGGCAGAGACGGGGGCCAGTGCAAACGTGGAGCAGCCCTAGCGCCAGATCTTGCAGGATCCTGCGACGCCAGGGTTGCATTGGCTCAGGTTGGCGCGCAGGATCCTGCAGGGTCCTGGAGGATCTCGCAGGATCCTGCAGAGCCTGACTGCCCCGGGTCTGCATTGTTGCTGTGGCCCGGGTCAGTACCGTGCCTCCGCGGTCTGTGGGGCAGGGAGTTCGCTACGAAGCAAACGGGCCCCGAGGAGGCGTGTCTTCTGGCGTGTGTTCGCCGTTTTCAGACTCTGGGGGCTCTCCACGGACCCTGGGACCGTCAACGAAAAGACGGAGGATGAAACGCGGATCCTGGGGGTTTCGTGCCAGGGAGTCGTGGGCGGGGGAGAAGGAGGACCTCCATGCCGCCCAAATAGGGGCACTGAAGACGGGTGCGGAGAATCGCACTGCATTGTTGCATCGCCGATGCATGGGCGGTTCGGCGCGACTTGGACTCCGATCTTCTCCATATCGCCGCCGCCCATGCATCGCCGATCCCATCGGCGACGCGGTGAAATCTTGCGACGCCATTGGCTCGGGCTTCGTTTGGTGGTGGCGGGCACAGGCTGGTGACGCGAGGGGGGTGGTCTTCAAAGAAGGCGGGAAGCTTCCAAGAAGGCAGTGGCCTCTCTAGAGGGGCCTCGAGGCGTCTGAGAAGGCTTCTCAGAAGCTGGGAGGGCTTCAAAGAGGGCCTCTGCCTTCTTAGACGTTCCCCCTCCTTCTCAGGAGGTTCCCCCCCTCGCGCCACCCCCTTGTGCGCGCCGCGACATCCGACAGTGTATTTCTTGAACTGCGCTCCCAGCGGTCTCGGCCACTTCACCAGGGGTAGCTTGTCGCCCCCGATGTATTTTTCATGGTCCCGGGCCGGATTGATGAGGATGAGGATGATGACTCCCTTCTCGTCCACACGAGGATGAGGATGAGGATGGAGGATGATCGAACACGCGATCCTCCTCCAGAGACCGATGGGGGAGACCGCTCTCGTCCTGCCGCGCGGGCTCCCTTCAGGCGGGGCCTCGGGCCGACCACCACGGCGCCATGCTGGCCAGCCGGTGGTCGAAGGTCGATCCCGACAGCGCCGTGGACTACCTCCCGCACCCATACAGGCTGATCGCGGAGGTGGTGGAGGCACGGAGCCGGGAGATTTTCGGAAAGAGGTTGAGGAGTGACGGCGAAGATGACGATGGTGGCGATGCTCGAAAGCTGAAGGTGGACGTCGATGTTCCTGATGTGGATGTCGATGATGGATGTGCATGTTTGGCGATGGCTGGTGGACGATACTGGATGGCGGATGGTGGATCATGTATGCCTTATGACGCATGCCACATGCATGCCAATTCAGGGGCCATACGCCTGGACATGGAGGGAGATTACTTGCTGCCGGCTTGAATGTAGGACGAGTTTGGCTAACGATCCTTTGTGTACATTTGCCTCATGCCGGACATGGTCATGATGAGTTGCTCGCTTGTTACCAGCACCTGTCCAAAGACATGGCAAGGCGTACGGGCCGCAAAGCGATCATTTGAAGGGATTTCAACACTCAATTGGACTTCAACACTCAATGAACCTTCATTTTGGCTGATTTTCTAGATGAGTGTTCATTGATTGCGACGAAAGTTGGAATTCGTTCCAACGACTCCATGCGTACCTGGTGGACGTTCTGTTTCTTTCTGTTTCCAGCCAGATTTAGTCGCAGCGCCGACCGAGAAGCTATCTTGACATGGGTTCTGACCACCGTGTTGTATCGTCGGGCCTGGTGAATTGCAGAGGCTGAAGGAGTCGTTACCATACGCTCCCTGCCGCCGTTTATGTACATATACAACCTTGCTTGAACATATACTTGACCGAAGCTATTTCGGATCGGCAAAAGGACCCGCGCGCGCCCCCGCTCGCGCTTTGCCTAAATTCTTCACGCTTCGCGTATCCCCACCAGCCCATCTCAAAACAGCAACTCTTGCGAAGCATGCCGACAGTCGTGTTTGTCAGGCGTGTTTCCGCCTGCCCCCGCATATCTCCGGGGCTCTCGTCCTGGTGTGAGTCGTTCGGGCCCTTCTTCCTGGTGTGAGTCGTTCGGGCTCTTCGTCGTGGTTGGAGTCGTTCGGGCTCTTCGTCCTGGCGTGAGTCGTTCGGGCTTCTCGTGGTGTGAGTTGTTCGGGCCCTTCGTCCTGGTGTGAGTCGTTCGGGCCCCTCGTCCTGGTGTGAGTCGTTCGGGCTCCTCGTGGGGCCTCTTGGGGGCCTCTTGGAGCCTCTTGGGGCCTCTTGGGGCCTCTTGGGGGCCTCTTGGGGGCCTCTGGGGAGCCTCTTGGGGGCCTCTTGGGGCCTCTTGAGGCCTCTTGGGGGCCTGTTGGGGGCCTCTTGGAGGCCTCTTGGGGCCGCTTGGGGGCCTCTGGGGGGTCTCTTGGAGGCCTCTTGGGAGCCTCCTGGGAGCCTCTTGGGGCCATCTGGGGGCCTCTTGCGACCTCCTCAGAAGCACAAAGGAGAAGGACAACATGAGCCCAAAACCTTCGTAAAATCAATGATTTTGCCATGAAGGAAGATGAGCGCGACCCCCATCAGGACGCCAAAATGGGGCCAACACCGTAGTACAATCAATGATTTTCGCTTCAAAGAAGAGCAGAGTTTCCGCCATGTCCCTGGACCCGCTACTATGGACCCCAACATTACAACCAGTGCTACCTGATGATTTGAGCCCTGTTGGGCTTAAATTGGGTAAAGATGGGTTATCAGCCGAAAGTTCCAGTCAAAGGACGACCGACCATGTCGGCCGCCTTGGGGCAAGTAAGATCACCTTCTCGCAAAACGAAAAGAAGATGGGACGTAAGCTTGAACCTACCAATATAGGAAAGCACAAGGTTCAAGGCGACGGACCGAAGCAGTCGACCTCTCAACGCATCCAAGAACCAGATAAGATGGTTTTGGGAAGCTCCGTCGCATCCGCACGTCAGCTTTCCCCTGCCAAGCGGGACGACAAAGCCATCCTGAAGCTGGTGTCGAAGAACCCTGGCGCCCTCATTCGTGATCCTTCCACTGCCAGCGACCTGGTGCGAAATGACGGCGCCCCATTCGACCGTGGACGGCCGCGTCCGCCTTTCCCCGATGGCGAATCAGATGAGGAAGAGGAATGGTCTGGAGGAAAAGGTCGCCCACGCAACCCATTGTCCGACAATGTCGCGCAAGCCTACGTCGTGAACTCCAGCTCCTCCGACGAGGAAGGTGATGTCAAGACCCCGACCAATAAGAAGGAGGCGTTTCCCCTATCGAGCTCATCGGAGATCCTCGAGACAACGACCCCTGAAGGCACGCCGACGAGGCGTGCCACGGACCATGTCCGACGTGCGGCAGAGAGTGTGAGCCTTGTAGGTGACGGCACCCGCGCGGAAGACCTGGGGACCTCATCCGGGGGGGCCGCGACAGATGCGCGGCGTGGGGAGACCCCGAGAGAAGATCCGATAGACATAAAGCATTCCCCATATAAGAAGCGTCCAAAGACTGAGCCTGGTGTTTCGGGCGTCCATGACGAGCCCATTCCAGTTCCTCGTGCCAGATCCCGCGGGAGGCAGCTCTTTGACTTGCCGAGCTTACTCTCTCAGAGGTCACGGTCGGGAAAGGGCGGTCGTAGCCGCAATTCAAGGGGGTCGCGCCGCGTCTCATCCTTCTCGAGGTCATTGACGTCCCGATTTACGATGAGAGAAACCTGTGCCCACCGCGGGCCAGATTGAGCAGAAGGTCCCGAGAGCTACTGTCGGGGCAGAGCGACCGACCGACAGTGCCAGAAACCTGTATGCCGAGGCTGTTCATGTCAATACTCTCTGTGCAATCTGAGCTACTTGTGCCATGAGTGTTTGCATCCGAAACGGCGCAACTGCTTTGCCTACAAAAACCACGAGTGGGAGCAACAGCAGGGGATGAGCAACATCAGCGAGCACAAGAACGCCTCTATGAGATCGCAACAGTGCGCTCCATGATGGCGGACATGGAAGCTAATCAGAAAAAAAGGCAAATCGAACTGATTGCACATCCGTCTGAAGCTCCAGGAGGCTACTACGACGCATGGACAGTCGGTCTCCAAAGCGGAGCAGATCATAGTGATGTCTATTGCTGGAAAAAAAACGCCACCTGGAGGAGAAAGCCGTCAACGCACAAAGGGCGGCTGAGTCTACCCTTCGCAACGCGCAGACAATGCAGCTACGATTCGAGAATGAGGCCAGGGAATCACAAGCTGGCGCTGCCAACATACATGCTGAACTCAAGCTAGTCTCGGAATCCGCGATGGCAATCCGGGGGGGGGCCCGTGGGGGGGCCAAAGCGCTACTGCGAGCAAGGGCTGGGGCTCTTGAGGAACAGGAATCGGCCACTCGCCGGGCGGCAGAGCTGAGGTCCATGCACCAACGTGCTCAACGCGTCGTGGCGACTTCCCAAGCCGGCCATGCCGGCGCGAGGATCGAGGCGGAAGCGGCAATTCAGGCCATGCGAAGTGCCGAGATGCAGGCTCAC